CAAGTTACTCAGAGGTACAGCTTCCAAATTTCTCGGCCCATATAAAGCCTAAACCCGCCCCGAGCTAGTTGGGCCATGACCAAACCCTTTTACTCTGTTGCTCCACTTTTTTGTTTGGTATTAAACTGTTCCGTTTGCTCCAATCCGTAGGTTCTTGAGCAGCTAAAAGAGAAAGCACTAAAGCGAGCTGGACTAGAAGAGGAAGATGTGTTGCAGAGAGTGCAAGAGAGAACAGACGCAAGGAAAAATAAAGAATACGAAAGATCTGATGCAATTAGGAAAGATTTGGCAAGTGTTGGGATCGCTTTGATGGATAGTCCTGAGGGAACAACTTGGAGACCAGCCATTCCTCTTGCCCTTCAAGAACCTGTAACTACACCTTGAGCTTTTAATATTATATATACTATAATCTCTATTCTTTTTTCTTAGTGGTTTATAGTATTTTTGTATCATTTTTGTTCAATTCGACTAGAACATTAAAGAATAACATTGGATTCTTGTATTATTCATTTTTGTGTTCAAGTTCAGTGAATTGTTTATACAATTATCAGAGGTAGTTGATTGTCTACTTTATCAAAGAGGTTATTGGTTTTAGTACATTTAGATTTGTATTTTCTAGCATTTGTGATTGTAAATTTTTAAGAGATTATTTGAGATACGTATTTTTTTTAATTCAAATATAAATACAAACATCTACATATACATTTTTACAGGGGATTTTTGCAAAAAGTCTTTTGGATCCGGGTTTTATCCGGAATTAACTATATTCGGATCTAGGATAAGGATTTTTAGGAATGTTGTCTTAAAACCACATTAATTCTTAATTAACACCTAAATTGGAAATATATATAATATATCTAAACTAACCATATTTGTTAATTACCTTAACTACTTCTAACAATAATTATTTAACTATTTATTTCTATATAGAAAGAATATGTGATTAAAATAAATATTTTGTAAAATATTGATTTGGGAAAAAATTGTTCTTACGAAAATAATTTGTTTTGTTATAAAAATTAATATTTGTTATTTGTAATTAAATTACATAAATAATAATAATAATTTGTCTACACCATCAAATGAAAATATTTAGTTATTTAATTTTTTTTTATTTAATATTACGTAATTTTAAAAAATAAATTCAACAATATAATGTCAATGGGTTTAATTCTTAAGATTTGAAAATATTAAAAAAGATACTAACCAAAAATTATCTATCCTAATTTGTTTCTAACAATTTGGACACAAATATTTCAAATCTTTCAAAAATTTAATGTGATCACATTTGTTACTAAAATCTCAATTATATTCCTTAAATCTCGAGAATATCTTCCTTTAAATCCGCAAATTATAATTTTTGAATTAAATAAACTAACAATACGAATATTCCTAATATATTAGAGTACTAATAATCCTTATTATAGTATATTCCTTATCTAAATACTACATCTTTTATTTTTAATTCTAATCAAAATTTATGAAATCGGAAATCAATCATGATTTCTTAAACATCCTTAAATTTCGAAATAATCAACAATTCGAATATGCTGAAAAATCATAACGAAATATCTTTATTTACTTAAATGTTTTAGTAATCGTTATAGCAAAAAAATCAATTCCAGCGCTATTGGTTCTTTAAACTTTTTGATTTACATAGATATTTTGTATTCCATAATTAACTCATTAAAATCTTTGATTTAAATAACTACAATGTGAAAATTAGTATATGTAATAAATATAACATATAATATTTACGAGATTTTCATATACTTGATCCCCAACCCAAATTGGCGAATATATTATTTCTCATAAAATATCTTTAAAAGATTTTTTTGTTTCGTTTAGATATTATTCAACAAACTTCCTAAAACAAATGGAAATATCTTTAATTAGCTTTCCTCATTCATAAATCCCACCATGCATATAGACGTTATTCAGTTGATAATACAAAATCGAATATATTAGGAATCAAATATATAATTTTCGAATATTTGCAAAATTGTTTTAATTTGTAGGTCAAACCTAAACTTCTCGAGTACTTTTCATTCATCTATATAAAGAAGATCTTTTCAACCATTGATCCACAATATTAAACGTTTTCGTAATAGAGATTTATATGGCTTCTTTTAAACAATGTTCTTAGTACATTTTATATTTCACGTTTTTTTCTTTTAAAAAATTAATTGTCACCTACTTTTCTTATGTTGCAGCTTTCGATTTTAAGATCTTGGAAACTATGGACATCATCATCTCCGTCTCCAAAGAAACTATCAAATAAGGTATGCATTAAAAGGTTAGTTAGTCCTTCTTCTTATCTTCAGATACAAATTTTTTAATGTCCAGTATTTTTTTACATTTTCAGAATTTCATGTTTCCTCATAATGATTGTAAATGATTTTCTTTTATAGGCTAACATAACAAGTCCATTCTATTAATTCATTTTCTTTAACGAAAAAAGGAAACGAATTTGTTAATAAAATAAAGTTCTTATTCTTAATTTTCATTATTCTAATGTTATGTATTTTAATTGTTTTTATGATATATACTTTTACAAAAACCTGTGGATCCGTGTTTTGGTTGGTAAGTGTAATTTTTCTAATCTTTTAAAACCTTTTATAACAATTACATGTTTTATATGGTTAAAAATCACATCATATATATTTTATTTTCTTATCCAATGTATTTCATGTTTAATGTTTTCTAATACTTTTTTTATGTATATTTTGGTTTTGACTAATTTTATATATAAGTTCTTAATTTAATCTATTAAAGTTCCAAAGAAAACATTTTAAATATAAGTTCTTAATTAATCTATAAACTTTATTAAAAGTAAAATATATATTTATTAAACTTTTAAAAAGTTAATTTTATAAAACGTTGTAAATATTTATAATATTAGGAATTTTATAAAGTTTCAAATATTAAATAGTTGAATTTAATAATAATTTATAAGAAATTTAAACATTATAAATATTTACAAAAGATACGGGACGATATATTACGGGTGAAATCCTAGATATAACAATCAAAATACTATTATGAATTTTAGGTCGATATTAAATGAAGTTTCAAATATTAGAAATCTTTGAATTTTATTGGAAAATGACAAAATGATGTAGATTGGACGGGACAGAGTTATATGGTCGCGGACGAGTTTGTGGTCGATATTAATACAGTATGATATACTACGGGTAAAATCCTATAATTAACAATCAAAATATAACTATACAATCTTAAACACTAAACAAAACTAAACAAATAATATTAACAAAACAAATAAAACTTCAAATTTTAAATCTTTTGTTATAAATATCGTCATACAGTGTACCATACATTTAAATCAAATAAAACAATAGCATATATCTATAGATCATCTTAAAAAAAAAATTTATTATTATTTAATAAAATTATAGACCCGCGGTGTACCGCGGGTTAATATCTAGTAGACTGAAATATAAATACAAACATAGACTCTCTTCCGCAAAGTTCTTATTTTTTTCAGAAAATATGAATTGAATTGGCCGATTGGTTCATTTGATTTCGATTTAGTTAGGTTATATATTATAACTTTCAAAAATAAAAGAAAATGGAGATTTATATGTTTCCAATTTTTATTTTTCAAATCTTGTTGTTGACAAAATAATAATTTCAAATCTTGTTTTTGACTTATAGAAACAAAGAGGTGTTAAATTTTGGAGTAATGCATGTGGTGGAGTCTCACAAGGGTTTCACTAAATATAGGTTTGGGTGGGTAAATGATGAAACAAGAGAATCATTTGGAAAATTCGGGGTCCCTCGTTTCAATGTCGATTGTCGCCTCATTTTTCTTTCTTTCTTTTAAATGAAATATTCGTATCAATCCAAAAATGTGAATAATTATGATGTAACTTATGTAAATCTGAATAATAATTGAATGTTGATTCTTGAAAGGTCTTTCTGTTGTTCTAACCATATATGGAAAGGCCATGATTCCAAATCAAAAGTCGAAAGGCCAAATCCTAATGTCCACTTCCAATCAACATATATATATATATATATATATATATATTCTCATAATTGAGTATTATTGTATGAAGAAAATTCTCCTAAATGATCTTTGTTAGTGATGGTTATATAGAGATACTTGTAGATCACATTAGAGCCATTGTGGCATTATGGCACTCAAACTATTATTTTCGAGCCATGCATAAAAATATGTGCAAGAACATTGTTTTAGCTCAAAATAGAAACCTTGTATAGACTGTTAAAATTTCGATAATATTGTCGGTCGGGTCTAAAAGGAATAGTGACCAAAACAAATATGATTAGGTTTTTATCGACCGTTGGTTTAAAATCTTAACCAAATAAATGAACAGAATGTCTCGAAATCTTTTAATGTGAAAAAAATGAAAGATGAAATTCGGTCCTACCATTTATGTGGCATAAAGTATATTTGGTTTTGAAAAAAAAAAATTTTAAAAATTTAAAAACATCACCCATGGAGTTTCGAAACTGAGAGAAAGTTAACATTTCATACAAAGGTCACTGGACTAATAGAATTTTTCAAAAATATGGTCTCATTGTTTTATATATAATTTGTAGTCTAAAGCATAAGGCTTTAGCTGCCTTATGGACGGGGCGGGCCTGGATGAAAACTTAATTTGATACGGTAGTACTTGTTGAATATTTTCCAAAAATATTTAGTGTTATCGGCATGACTATCCAAGTTTACATTTGCATAATACATTGTTGACCTAAAAAAAAATAACCATAAACATGTTAGAATTCTTCACATGGTTGCGTGT